TAAAGGCGGTTATTGGGTGGGTGTATGAAATCAATGAATACGGGCTAACAGAGTGAAGAGGCAAGGTTCCATCATCATCAGTGTTATACACGGGACATGTCCGCCTAATTATTGAAAGAACACAATACTGATACTGATGACTTATATTTTTTTAAAGCTATGCCTTCTGATTCATTCCTAGAAGATTTATATATTTAGCAAACATTAAAATCAGCTAGTTACATAGTAATAAGATTCCAAACATGCCAACAAATATATTATTACCCATCTCCATTCCCTATAGTTAATTCCATCCATCAATTAATAAATTTTCTGCGACACCTGGAGTTTCGGATTTCTTCCAACTCTTCATTGTAAAAACCCTTTTTGACACACGATCTAAAATGAAATTATCGCATAAATGAGTTAATAACAAGAAATAAAGAAATGATAATTCTAAATACTTGATCTTCCCGGGACTAGTAGTACAAAACCACAAGTTAACACATTTACCACCTTTATTAATTCAACATATTATTAGAACCAATATTAAATTAAACCTCAAAAATCTTTTGTAAAGCATGCGTTGAAAAATTAGGCGAGGAGGAGGGAAGAAAAAAATAGTTTCCAAACAAAAAATATTGAATAATTCAGCATCTAAAGAAATGTTGATTTTAAATGGCGGAAATTCAATTACAATAGTTTAAATGGTTTTGCACAAGTGTTAAGAAATTATTATAAATAATACCAAGTGAAATTAAATAAATAATTAATCAATCAACTGGAACATTTAAAATGGTGGACACGGACACGGACACGGACAATCCGCGTCCGCTGACAATACTGATCATTATAAATAATGTTTTTGGGGTTGTGATCAACCAACAATTTTATAGGATAATCCTCTCCCTCGATTAGAATGTAAATAATATAATTTTTATACAACATTTTATTTTTAATATTAATCAATTAATATCATGGCCTTGTTTTTCATCTTTAGCGACATTTGATGAAAGGCTCGTATTCCGAGTTAATAAACTTTCATCGGTTACGGTAGTAGTAGCACTTGCTGATGTTATATGTCTTGATAACATACTACTCCCACCATGACTTGTATTCTCACTACTACTAATCAACGATAATACTTCATCGTCGGCTTCTCTCTCGCCACTACCATCATGTAACGACGAAAGACGAGCACGTTGATTATTTCTCATTCTCAACTATTGTTATTGTTGTTGTTGTCATTGATTGTTATGATTATGGTGATGGGAATGATGATATTAATGTTATTTTTTTAATGCGTTTGGTTAGATTAACGGGAGAAAATTTTAATAAAAGATATTATTTAAAGGTCGGAATAAATAAATGAATGAATGAATAATCAAATGGATAAGTGATCAAATAAATGAGTGATTAATAAAAAAAAAGGACAAGAAAAAATAATTTCATTTTCATTTTTTTTATATAGTGAATTACCTGTTGTTCTATGTAACTACGTGCTTCACCAGTACCACCATTTTGTTTAACTTTTGCGCTATATATATCCCAAAATACATTCCACCATTCATATAAAAACCCTTCAGGAGCATTTACAGGTAGTTCAACGTCAGGCAAAGAATTTGAATCGTTGTCAGCAGCAGATGAACCGTTTGCACCATCGACAGGTTTATAATGTTTAGTTATATCAACTTCAGACAAGTATACTTTAGCAGTTTCAGTAGCCCCGTTTTTCTTTAAAAAATCGTAAATATAAACGAATAATATTCTCTGTTCGTCGTTTTTATTATCAAGCTTGACTTTATGATTGTTTTTATCATCCTGAGGATTTGTAGACAACATTTGTTGGTGTTGTTGTGGTTGATGAGAATTTTGTTGCTGCTGCTGTTGCTGCTGCTGCTGTTGCTGTTGATGCTGATTTAATTGTTGTGAAGTTTGTGCTTGTTGTGCTTGTTGTTGTTGTTGCTGCTGCTGCTGCTGTTGTTGAATTTGTGGCTGACCTTGTTGTGACTGTTGATGAAGCATCAGTTTTTTATATGTATAATTTAATTTTGAAATTTATATATATATTATAACACCTAAATTTTATATATAAAAGAATCAAATGTAAGTAAATATATTATTATATAGATAAACGTATAGATAGGAATATATATGTTAAGTATGTTAAATATATGTATATACACAACGTTTCGAAATTTAAAATATTTTTTTATAACTATTTCACTTTTTTTACTTTCTTTTTTAGAAGATTATTATTATGTATTTTTTTTTAAGCTAAGAAAAGAAAAAGTTTTTTATATATATATATGTATATATAGGGTGATTAAAAAAAAATTCATTTTGAACTTATTTATTGTATTAGAATTGAACCCTATTTCCCTATTTTATAATTCTAATAAGGCCTTTTTTTTTCAAGTCGAGTGAAATTATTAGTGTACGTAACTTTAGTAAAAATTTTTATTTTAAAAAAGAGATATATAGATTATTATAGGTAGGTTTTAGACTTTAATTACGCCACTTATTAATCATCAATTGCTCGTAATACAATAAAAAATTTTTTTATAGAAATGTTTACATTCTGCGAACCAATGATGGATTATGATAATGAACAATGAAGTCATTTTATTGCTTTGTAGTTTTTTAACCTTTCCAATTAAGGTTATAGATCAATGATTAATAAAGATTTCAGGGTTCAAAATTTTCAGGGAACATAGAATTGAATATACTTTTAAAGTGTCACATGATATACAATTTTCACACATTTCAGAAAAGGAAATTGAAAGAATAGAGTTTCTAAAGTTTGTGGGTACAAGAGATAGCCCAGAGCATAAACGTCTTCAACGGAAAAAAAGTGCTGATATTAATAGTAGAATACGTGAATAAATAATTGTCTTTACAAATAATATAATTATAAAAAGTTGCATTAATTTTAGTGTCGTTATAATTTTTCAAAATTTTCCGCCTCACTCGTATATCAGCAGAAGCTACTATTACCATCCCTCATCACACCTTGTATCTTTTTTATACTTCTTACAAAGCTGTCGTTACATATCTTCACTCGTTTATTCATTGCTGATATTTGTTGGGTATGTATCTACCTTTATTTGTTTGTTTTAAATCACAAAATTCAAAATGAAATCTCCAAATGTTAGACCTTATTTAATGTTAGCAATTCCAGAGGTTTTATCAATTTTTAAAATATTATCTGAATAAATTTATTTATATAGTGGTGATTCCTTAAAAAAATTGTTGCCATTTTTATCGGATCATAAGTCGTATAGATGGACCCAATAATTCATTTTTATTCAAGTATTTTATTAGCTTATTCCGTTAATTTCTTCCATAAAGATTATTATAAAAAAGGGAGATTCTAACAGACCATCAAGCAAGCTTCACAATATTTAGAACAAACTTAGTAGTTAAATTACAAGGTCATTTGACTGTATTTTTTCTTGCGCTGTAATTTTTTATTACGCGTAACATCCATTATAACGAGGTTTATGAAAACGAGTGTACTTCATAAAAAATTACATCCAGACCACAATTAAACACTCATTACCGATCAAATAAATCAACGAGATGATGTAATACTTGATCAATAGAGGAAGTTTGTATCTACAGCTTTTGACAGACACTCTGATTATATATATATATAATTTTTTGAGAATGGCCGTAATTTAATTGTGTAATGCCAAAATATGGTTGTTCTTGAAAAAGTGTTTGGGTACTGGCAGCAATTGAGGCGGTTCAATCATTAGTGGAGAGAGGTTACAAAGCCGTGGCATCTTCGCTTTGATCATCAGCAACTCCTGTGTCATGATTATTCTCACTTGGATCATGAAAACCAATGTCGTTTTGAAAAATTATGAGAAACGGTCATTTCCATGTATTCTTTTGCTTTCTGCTTGTATCCTCTGATGAATGGTCGCTTTTTGATATTTGAAAGCTTTGAGTATGAATCTACAATTCAAACATATTGAACTTGTATTTTTGTGGTCGAGAAAATAAATACTCGGTTTTACATTTGCATAATTTACATACTTCTAATTCTTTGGTTTTAGAATTATTCGCATCTGAGGTGACAGCATTCAAAAAAATAAAAAACGTAGTTTGCTACAATTATTGTTCAAATGGTGTTTGACACAGAAAAATTTCCAAGTGGATATCATCATGATTATCTCTCGTTGTTGGACATTTTTTTTTAGGCACAAGGTTTGATAGTCATTTTTATTAGTGATCCATAGTAGGCTTTGTTATTTCATTTCTTTTTAACTCACGTGATTAATAGTTAGAGAAGGATTTGTTAACACCTTGTGATTATATTCGATAAAGAAAAAAATTATTACTATTACTTACTGTGCAAAGTGGATATTGTTTCCAAGTTAAATATGTTCTACAAAGAATTTTTAATTTTTAAATTAGTGACTCAAGTAAAACAGGGCCTAATATAAAAGATACACCCCGTATTTTGTTTATTATTAATATTAAATTTTTATGTGACAATTTTTTCATCAAAAAAAATTTCCCAATTTTCTTTTTTTTTTTTATTAATTTATTATATTTGACCACTATTATTTTACTCTCTCCTTCGAAATCAATAACATACACATATTTATTATATGAAAATACAAAAAATGGATAGAATTGATATGAGTTTGGATGACATCATCAAGGGCAATAAAAGAAAGCCGAAGCAACCAGCAAGGACTTTCACTGGAAATAATAATCCTACCAATAATCATAGCAACAACAACAACAACAACAATAATAGAAACAACAAGACAATAGGACCAATTCGTACCAGATCTGCTGGTAAAAATTTGACCAGGCAAAAAGCTAATCCCTATCCGGTAAGAATCAAAGCAGAATCCCAATTAGTAGTCTACGCTAGAAAGTATATAAAAAAAATATAATTTATTTTTCTTCTTTTTCAACAACGTTCAAAAAAAAAATTTTTAAAAATTAAAATAACATGATTTTCTTTAAGAAGAACTATTTTATATATTTTCTGGTGGTGGTTTTAATATTTATTTGGGACTTGTGAAAGAATGTGATGAAAAAAAATTGATTTAAATACATTTAATAAATAATGTGGACATTTTAAAATCAGAAACCGAGAATTTCCAAATCTGGCAATCCTAATGGTGTTTGGCGCCATGACCTTTTCCCAACTCTCAACTCTGGTGCTCAAAATAGGAACAATCCAAAGCCCAACAACAACAATAACAATAACAACAATAACAACAATAATTTGGGTTTATCTATCAGACAACGTCTGGGTAACGGAATTAATAATAGTCCCGGCGGTAGTGGTGTTGTAAATAGATTATCGATCAAAGGTGCTGCTGGAAATCAACAAGCTCGATATTCTATTAAAGGTGAAGGAGGTCCTGCTACCATCACTGTTAACAATTTAGCGCCTGGTACAAGTGCAAATGATATTAAGGTTGGTTGGAATGTATCTATAAAATCAAAATTTTGATTTATAATAAATCATTTATTAATTTTATTATTGTTGTTATTATTGTTTTTTTTTTTTTTTGATTTGTTTAGACGGCATTTATGGAATTTGGTGAAATTTCTACAATGAACGTAGATGAAAGATTTCCTGCTAATCCTGTAAAGGCTGAATTAACTTTTGAAAGTAAAGTTTCAGCACTTGATGCAATAAAGAAATATAATACTGCACTTGTTGATGGTTTGTATTTAATATATTAATATAAATTAATATAGATACTTTATTATTTTATTATTTCAAGTATCTTATATTTAATTTGAATTGTATTCTAGGCTATGTTCTTAAAGTTCAATTAAAGCAGCCAGGCAACAATTCAAATACTGGTGCTGCAACATATAGGAAAGAATAATATTCTGAAAAAAATAAAAATAGAAAAATAAAAAACTAAAATTCTAAATTTGATGTTGTTG